GTCCCCTTGGGGCACACTGGCTCATTAGGTTTACCAGTCCCTGCCTGAAAGGTATTTCATTTGCCTTTTACAATGTACCAATTGCAAGTTAATTAACTGGCAATAGAAAGTTATAGGTGGCATTAGAATTTATTAATAACATTGGAAATAAATCTCCCTGAAATTCAAGTAATTGGAAATCTCATGAAATTCTCTTTTTTATAATCTATAAAACAGTCTGGAAGAAAGGTGTTCCAGAACCCTTGGCAGTGGTTGGGATTGCAGGTGTGGGGGAGTTGGGGTAGGAAGGAGGCTCCAGTTCTGACCTGCCGCCTGTCTCCAAGGGTCCTGTGCCTCCTGCCATGGTCAGAGCTGAGCCCTGGGGGTGCAGATGTGACCCTGCCCACAAGAAGATGACAGCCTAGTGGGGGAACAGAGCTGTGGGCACCTTTTGGATCCACAAAGGTGAAGGCTGGGGCTGGGGGACCCCTGTAGCACCTGGGCCACCTCTGGCTGGGGCCCAGGACCAGAGTCAGCCAATTGGAGGTGAGTAGCCCCTGCTGGTCTCTGGGACACACTAAGCACAAGAGAGAAGATTGTGTCCCCAAGCGCCATTGCCACCCAGCCCAGAATGGGCCACCTCACCTGGTGCATTCTGGGGAAGGAAAGGCTCAGAGGTGGCCCCTGAGCTTCAGAGCATGCCCTCTGGGTGTCTGGCGAGGGTCTGATGAACTTCCTCAATTCCCTCTGGTGCCAGGAAATAGGCCCCTCTCTGGATTTCAGTTCCAAGTGGGTACAGCAGGAAATCTGGGGTCCTGTTGGAATGTGCAAGAGGAACCCCAGCCTGGGCTGAGAAGGTTTCTGGCCCACTTCTGAGATTTGCCCAGTCAAACAGCCCTGGCATTGGGAGCTCCCCCATCCCACAGCAACTCGTCAACTGCAAATTTCTGCCTGCAGCCAAGGTGTGTCTCCAGGCAGAGGCAAAGCACACACGTACACCCCTAGCTCTGCCATTAGCTTCTTGTCACCTCTGCCAGGAGGGGCATTAAAAGGACTTTTCTGTTTGTGGAGCATGTTCACTGCAGAACGACCCGCTCCTGGCCCTGGAGCAGCGTCCTGGGTTGTGGGAGGTATTCAAGGGGAGAGGGCAAGGCTGGGGGAGCTTGTGGGGGGCTGGGGTATCAGTCAGCACGTGGATGTTTCCGTATTTGACAAAGGGTTCAGCAGCTCCTGTGGGAACCACTGAGTTCAGCCCAGCCTGAGCCCCCCCAACAGTGTTAACTGCCACATTAGGGTACTGGCCAGAGCCAGCATTGGACAGAGGGGATCCTGAATGGCTGCTTTGGCTGCTGGCCATCTGGGGTGCGACCAACGGGCTACATTTGGATTCAGAGTCCAGTTCTCACACCCTACTAGGACAACCTTGGGGCTCCCACCCACATAGAGGGGAGGCCTGCATTCAGTTTCCTGCCAGAGACTGAGCATTCCAGTCTGTGCTCTGTTTCAGGGCTCAGTTGGACAGGGAGGTGAGGGGCAGAAGGTCCCAGGGGGCCAGACAGCCAGTCATAGGCCAGTGGTGACAAGGACTTAGGGGACTCAAGCTCTATGGCTGCTCAGCACTCCAGAGGAGGGTCCTGAAGGGGAAGGTTCATGTGAAGTCCTGCAGAAGGACTCAGCTCCTCCCCCCACACACAGGTACAGGCACACACACACCCAGCAGATGCATACACATGTATCCAGGAGTGCACACACCCCTGGCATGGCTGCTCACACATACAGGTGCACACAGATGCATGTATGTGTATGTACTCATGCACACATTCATGTGCACCCACTAGAACACACACTGGCACGTGCATGCATGTGAATCCACACTCACATGCTTATGCGCACACACACTCACACATGCACACACACCTACAGCAAGGCTGGAACCTGCCTGTATTTGAGAAGATTGTGGGGTTTGATCTAAACCCTGGGGCACAGGAGAGAAGTATGTGTGGGAGAGAGACTGGGGTGCACCCCGAGGGTGGAGGGATGCAGAGCAGGGCAGACTCGGGAGAAGACGGAGCCAGGAGTTGGTGTCTGGCTGGGCCAGGTGGGGTGAGGTGAGGTGAGGTAAGGGGGTGAGCCTGTGCTAGTTAACCCCCTGGGTGGCCCATGCAGGTGGGCACAGGGTGGCCCGAGCTGTTGAGAGGTCTCTCCAGTCCTGCCCGCATTCTCCCTGGGAGCTAGGCTGACCCTCCTGAGCCCCTTCCCCAGGGGTTGGGGGGAGAGGGGCAGTTTGGGACAGAGAAAGGTGTCTAGACTCTGTTGTGCAATGATGACATCCTAGAGGGGGCTCCCGGGTGATTTAGTCCCCCATTCTGAGTCACCTCCAGGACCATAGGCCGAGCTGCCAAGTGCAGGTTGGTGTCTCCATGCAGAAGCCCGAGACAAGCAAGAACTCAAGCGACCTAGCGCGTCCCCAGGGGCTGCAGGGGTCAGAGGAGGTGAGGCAGCTGAGGATTTTGCCCAAAACCAAGGTCTGTGCGCCCTCTGTGCTGGAGCTCGCCCAGGTTGCGCTCCGACCTGCCCTCTGCCGTGTCCTGCAGGCACGAGTGCTGCCATGCAGCCGGGCCAGCGCCCACAGGCTGGAAGGAGTCTCGAGGTCAGGCAGAGAGAGGAGCCGCTGCTGACTGGGCTGGTGCCAGCCGCCGAGAGGACAGGCCCGGATGACAGGGCCAGGCTGCAGAACCAGGCTTAGGGCCAGGAAGGGGCGGGCAAACCACAGCAGATTCGTGAGCAAAGGGGGAGCGCTGGCAGCCTGCGTTTCAGGAAGTGTTCATCAGCCAGATGGAGGGGAGAGGCCGAGCTGAGTGTGAGGACCTGCCACTGCCACCCTCTCCCCTTGGGTCAGTTTTCTCCTCCTCTAGCCTTCGGGGTCCTCCAAGATCTGGCATCTGGCTGCTGTTCCTGCCTCCTGAGAATTCCTTCTTCTCCCCACCCAGATCTGCTCTGCTCATCATCCGCCTTTGGCCTTTGCTCACACTTGCCCCTCCTGGCAGTGCCATCCCTCTGTCCTTGGCTTGAGTGAACCCCAACAGTATAAACTGCCGTTTCAGGGTACCAGCCAGAAGTCAGCACTCTTCCTTCCAGAAGCACTCGCAGGGAGGTGGTGCAGGGCAACAGCTGAGAGCATGGGTCGGGGAGTCCCACAGACCTGGTCTGAAACCCAGCTTCACCACCAGCTGGCTGTGACCCAGTGTGAGGCGCTCAGCCTCTCTGGGCCTCAGTTGACTCCATAAAATGAAGACGGCAGCTGTGAGGGTGAAGAGAGGTGACGCCTATCGGGTGTTTAGCCCTCATCCTGAAGGAGGAACAGCTCTTCCCTGGGAAGCCACAGGCCCGGACCTCTTCTGGGGCCCCCAACTCCTGCCACCCTAGCAGCATGCTGGCCTGTCCACCCTGCTGGTGGGGTACTCCACTGGAAATTGGTTCCTTCCTGCACCCCCTTCCACTTTCTATGGTTCTGAGGTGGGCCTGGGAGCACCCAGACATTCAGTCCTGCTCCCACCTGGGGGGCTCACTCCAGACTGCCACCCCTCCATCCAGGCCTGCCCTGGACAGCTGAAAGACCCAGGGTCAGGGAATAAGTCATGTCTCCTCAGTAAATGCTATACATGGAGTTAAGGACCTAGGAGGATAGGACCTCAGAATTCTGCACTGATGACCTGGGGAGAACCAGTCTCTGGGCCTTTGACCCTGCCCCCCCCATTTGACCTTGTCCTGAACCAAGGGCTTGGTGGCACCCATGGACACCCGGCCTGGGGGCCTGTGATCCGCTCACACTACCCCAAAGCAGCTGCCTGCTGGGCTAAGGATGCAGATGTTGGTGGGATATGTCCTTAAGATATTCAGGAGAGAGGCCCACACAGACCCCAGGCTGGGGGCCGCTGGGACAGGATGTTCTGAGACAGGACAGGATGTTCTGGGACAGTATCTCTTAGGGTCCCATCTCTGCCATTGGGTCTGGGGGAATAAAATGCCTGGTGACTGCTTCACTGGCTAGAGACATAGTCAGATGGCATGGGGTCCTGTGGTAGCCCCTAGGGATGTGCTGCTACTCGGATGGGGTTTCATCCAATGTATGGGTGTTGCTGAGTTGAGGCGGCCTGGAGGAAAAGGTGCTCAGTTGTCCAGAGGAAGCCCTCATGCCTCTGCCCGGCTGTGCTCTCCATCCTCTCCCTCCTGTACCTCCATGGCCTCTGTTCAGCTCCCCTGCTGATCAGCTGCCCCCCACCCCCGGTGCTGCTGTGGCCCTGTGGCCACCCCTCCCGCGCACGTCACTCTGGCCGGGATTCACCTAGGCTTGCATGGCCCACATTGCTGCTCGATGGGCCAGGTCCTGTGCTGGGGTGGGGAAGGTGGAGGTCAGCCAGATTCCATCCTGCCCACAAGGACCCCAGGAGTCTAAACATGGGACAAAGTTATTCTAGGGAGATCATGTGGGGGCCAGCAGGGGGTGCCCAGCCAGAAGCTTCTAGCTAGGAACATGAGGTCTGGCTGGGGCCTTGGAAGCCTGGGCCTTCCCTCGACCTGGGGCAGCAGGCAGAGCAGAATGCCTTGGGTCCCCACCTGCGGGGTGGGGGAGCCTCAGCAAGGCCCAGAGTCCTGGCTGGAGATGGCTTGGCAGGGATCCCCAGGTGGCATAGTGCCCGTCTCAGCTGAGGGCTCAGGGAAAGGACCAGCCACCAAGATCCACATTAGACTAGTGTTGAGGAACCTAGGTCTGGGGCAGGAATGTGGGGGCAGACCTGAGGCCTCCCCACTTCACTCTCCTTACAGAGCTGGGCCAGCTGGGCTTACAGCATTGTTGCGGGGGCAGCCTTTGAGAGTGCTTCCCTCCCTCTCCAGCCCCTTCCACCAGCCTCCCTGCCTCAGAGGCCTGTGGTCACCTTGGCCTTGGGGCCCCAGAAGACACCTCCTGGGACCGGGCCTGGCTGAAGCTGACTGGGCATGCATGTCCCAGCTCCCTGTCCCCCACCGCTGCCAGCAACCAACACCAGAGCCACAGTGGGGAGAGCACCTTTATTGTCAGGGCATTACAGACTTCCGCCTGCCTCTGCCCGCCCATGAGGACAGAGCGCTGTACCCTGACCCCCGCCAGCCCTGCTTACCAGGGACCATCAGCGCCTGGGGCAAGGAGAGGTTACTAGGGCCTGGGGACCAGGCCACAGCCTCCCAGGAGCACCGAGGGCTGGGGCTGGGCTCTGGGAGATGCGCCCCAGGGTGGCGCCAGCACCTATAAATCTGAGTTTGCTGAGTCCTAGGTCCTGGGTTCTGACCCACTGAGGAAGGAGCACCAGGGTCAGTTCAGGTGACAGGGGACCCTTGACCTGAGAGGTCTTGAGGGCTGTGGTAGTAGCTCTAGGGAACGGGGAGCCGGGCTTCTGTTCTGGGGCTTGTCTGGAGCTGTGGCCCTGAGTGGGGAGCATCTATCCCAGCAGGGCCCGGGACGTGGCAGTTCTCCTTTCTCTGGCTGTCAGGGGGACGCTGGACTTGAATGAACACAGAGATGGTCCTACAGATTCGTGGAGATCCCCGGAGAGGGCAAGGCTGCAAGGATGGCCCCTTTGGGGGGGCTAATACTCCCTGTTCGCAGCTCAGGAGGCAGAGGGCCTGGATAGGGTGGGAGGGTTCACAGACATTGGGAGGCAGCAATGGGCACTGCTAATTTGACTTGAGGGCCCCTGTGTCTCGATCCTCTTCTCACCGTCTCCATGTCCACTGACTCCCATGGGCATGTTCAGGGGCTCCCTGGCCTCTGAGAGAAGCTATAGGCAAGATGACCCCCGCCCAGAGGGCAGACCCAAGCCAGGGAGGGGATCTGAGAAAGGGAAGGCCAGGACCCGCCCTCTCGTCCAGCTAGTCAGTCCTGTCTCCCCATAGCTCTGCCCACCCAGGAGCCGCCTGGCCCTGCGCCTGCCCGGTCTGAGTGTGAAGAGGGAAAGCTGGCAGCGAGGAGTTTGGCTACTAAGAGGCCAAATCCTGCCCAAGCCCCCATGGCCCCAGGGCTTGGTAGGTTACTGATCCTCTCCAAGCTTCCGCCCCTCCCTCGGCCCGTCAGGGGGGATGACAAGGCCATCTCCCGGGGGTGAAGTGAAACAATGTAGGGAAAGCTCCTTGGATGGCCCAGCATGGCAGGGACTTGGTAAATGAGGAGTACTGGATTATTCCCCACCCCCCCAGCCCGTCAGGCCCTGTCCCAGCAGGGAGTGGGGCGAGGGAGGGTAAGAACAAGGCAGGGCTCCACCAGGTCCTTGGCCTTCTGCCCCTGTCCTTGTTCCCCAGGTCCCCAAGCCCGGAAGCCAGTATCCCTCGCCATGGTTGGTGCCTGGAGCCCAGCCCCATGGGACCTGCAGGCGCCGGAGTGGCACAGGCCTCCGTCTGGGCCCCGGGTGGGGACCCGGCTTGTTCCGCAGGCTGCCTCTTACTTCCCGGCACCGGCCCGACCGGTGCTCTTCCTCCCGGGGTCAGGGTCAAGCAGGGCAGCAAGGGAAGCATCAGGAGGGGGACCCCGCTTCATCTTGAGGTTGGCTCTCAAGGCCGCGTCCTGGCCGGAGCCCCCCTCTGGGGAGGCCAGAGGATCTGGAAGAAGAGCAAGGGGTGGATCGACACAGAACCGCACCTTCGCTCTGGTCCCTTGTGAGGGGAGAGCTGTGCCCGGTGAGGACAAAGGCAAAAGAGTAGGGTGCGTTCTACTCCTCAAGCTTCCTTATTCACCCATCCTTCCACCCACCCAACCACCCATCCCTTCCCCTACCCCATCCCTCCACCCACCCATCCATCCCTCCACCCACCCACCCATTCCTTCACCCATTCCCCCAACCCTTCATCCACGCCCCCATCCCTTCATCCACTCATCCATCCATCCATTTTTTAACAAACCCCAGCCAGGGCTGGGGCCAGGCCCTGAAGCCAGTCACCACCCACTGCAGGGCCTCACACTGTGCCAGGGAGAGACAGAGCGCACAGAAGGCTTGCAGAACACCTGGGACTGAGAGGAGGGTGGCTCCCCAGGGGACGAGAGTTTTGAGCAGGCCCTGAGGCGAGAGTCAGTAACCACAGAAGAGGCACAGGCTTTAGCATAGGCCAGGGGGTGGGAAGGAGCCTGGGGTGATGGCGGCTCCGTGTCACTGGGCACCTGGTGATGTGGGGGAGGAGGTTGTCTTGGTCAGCAGGGAGCCATGGAGGGTCCTTGAGCAGGGGCAGGACAGTGCGGTTTGGGGGAGACCATCCAGCATCCAAATGGCAGGGTCATTGAAACAGGGACCCCAAGAACAGCGGCAGCTGCCGTGAGGGCAGCGAGGAGCAGGAAGGTGCGTGAGGGAGGCTCCCGCGTCGGTGGCCAGTGGCGCCTGAGCATTCCCAAGCCTGGGGCTCACCGTGGATTCCAATCATGTGTTCCAGGATGAGGACCCTCTCTGCCAGGATCTTCAGGGCCTCCCGCAGCTGCTGCACCCCCTCGCCCTGGTGGGGAGGAAGCAGCAGGGTCAGGGCCATCCTGCTTCAGGGCACAGGTCCCCACAGCCCTCCCTGCTCCTGTCTCCCTCCTGTCGCCACCGCCAACACAGCTGCCACCAGAGTGCGGCCGTCCACCGCGCACCAGGGCTGGGGCTGACTTCTTGTTCACAAGCAGGGCTCTGAGCTCAGCGAGCGTGACCAGCCAGGCTTGCCCTGCTCCCACAGCCACCTGGCTGCTTCCCCTGCACAGCTTCCTTCCAGAAAATATCCTGCCACGGGTAGAGCACCTCGCATGACCCAATGGGTTGGGTGGGGCGCTCTGTTGGCTTCCTTCCTGGCACTACCCTGCACCCCACCCCCAAGAGCTGTCCAGCTATGCCCCCCTGGAGAAGGGAGAGCCAGAGTGGGGGCCGAGATGGCAAGTCTGTGTGTCTGGCACCCAGCAAAGGGCCCTGTGGCCGAGACACGCGAATGAGCTGCGGTGTTGGGAAGTCAGGGTCAAGGCCACTTTGAAAAGAGACGCGAGGGTGCAGGCACAAGCCGGCCCCAGGAGTCAGCAGCAAACCCCCGCCTTTCACTGGTGTAACGCGGCAGCTGTTATGACATTTGGATTAATCCAGCTCGAAACAAAAGGCAACTGAAAATCACCCTGCTGGGTTGCAGAGAAAGGCCCTCCCCCCACGGGAGCAGCGGCCACGAGGGGCGGTGCTGCGGCTGTGGGCAGAGTGTGCGAAGGGGTATTCCCGGCATGGGGCAGGGGTCCAGGCTCGCTCCGTCAGGGACCCAGCTGAACCCCATTCCCTGGGCCACACACAGGCTCTTCTCTGAGGAAACGAAGAGAGGAAGCCACGGGCACCCCGCTCTCCCACGGCAAGTGCCCGGTGTGGACCGCTCACCCACACCCCCACCCCCTGCTCCCGCACCCACCGTGCTGCTCTGGGACAGCCTTTCCCCACCCTCCCTGTCTCCAGTCCTGCGCGGACCTACTGAAGTCGCCTGGTCTCAGCCTCACCTGTCCTGCCCATCCTGCCTCCAAAGTCACCTTCCCGCTGACCCCCCAGCTTAGAACCGCCCCAAGCTCAGGGGACATCGTGAGTCCACTGTGCTGCGGCCTCTCCGAGCTGACACACCGCGGGCTCTTACTCTCAGCTTGCAAAGTCTCTCCTACAGGCCCCACTGCCGTCACCTCTTCTATCCATCACCCCTTCAGCAGCAGCCCCGCGTCCCCCCAAAAGGCAGCAGGTCCTCACGGCCACACCCTTATGCTCAACCCTCCCCCCTGCCATGCTCCCTCCCACCTGTTTTGCCCTAACCCCTGTGGGCTCCAACGCCCCCAACCCAACTCCTTCACCAGCCTCTGCCCCGCCCCTAATGCGCGGTCTGTCAGCACGTGACCTGTGGGCGCATCTGCACGCCAGGCGCCGGGCACGGAGAGGACCTCCAGCCGGACGCCCCTTAGAGGAAAGGTCTTTTCTTTATGTCCATGGCTCCTCCTGCCCTCTCCACCTAGGGCTTCCCCACACCTGGGCCAGTCACCCCCTTCTGGGGCGCCCCCACTGAAGCCGACCTCACACAATCATGACTTCACTCATCTGTCTCCCACCAGCCCGGCATAGCCAGCACCCGACCCAGGGCTGATGGGGGTCAGTGCGGACCTGGAGGAGAGCTGCTGTCCCCAGACACAGCAAGGGGCAGGAGGGAAGCAAGAGCCCAGAGGCAGTTACCTCAGCGGTGGCCTTCTCCTCTTCTTCCCCCTTCCCGCCAGGCTCGCCCTGCGGAGAGAGGAGTGCCGTCGGCAGCCAGGGCCATGGTGGGGGCTTCACTCCAGAATCCCACAGGTGGGGCCTGGGCACTGGTGCTGGGGCCCCAGGCGTGGAAACCCCTGCCCCGGATGAGCAGAGCAGGGAAGGCCCAGGCCTGCCAGGGTCGGTGTCTGAAACTGGCTACAGGGGTTTAATTCTGCTGTGGGGGCAGGTTTAATTCCGCTCCTCCAGGACCAAGTCCCTGCTTCTCTGCTTCCCGGTCTCTAAAATGGGTAATCTCAGCCTTGCAGGAACACCCATGTGGCCACTTCTCCTGTGTGACCTGGAGCAAGTTACTGTACCTCTCTGTGCCTTGCTTCTGATGTCTCTAAATTGGGGGCAATAATAGTGTCTACCTCATAGAGCTACAGGAGTCAGGGAATCGACGCTGACAACGAGCCCATACTGGAGCCTGGTGCCTCCAAGTGCCATGAAAGCATCCATCTGGTGGCTGTTTGTTACTTGACAGAAGTTCCAAAAAGAGGCGTGGCTCTAGGGGCTCCACGCACGCTGGGCCTTAACCTTGGCTCTGCTGCGTCTCGCTGTGTGATCTTGGGCAAGTTACTTAACCTCTCTAAGCCTTAGCTGCCAGTGCCAGCAAATAGGAGCAGTAAAGCGCAGGCTCACTGGGTGGCTGTGAAGGCCGTCGCGTGCCCCAGAGCAGGGGCTTGGCAAAGATCCACCCCTTCTCCCTGGCCCCATGCCCCCCACATAAGGCCTGGACTCCAGGGAGGTGCTCATCTCGCCTCTGGGGGCAGGAGTTGAGACTGATAATTTCTTGTTTCCAAGAAGGGAAACAGAGGTCAGCTGTCTAAGCCTCTTACTTCTGGGAGGTTCTGAGAAGAGAAGGGACCCCATATCACACAGCACACTAGCTCAGTGGCCTGGGCACCCTAGAAGTGACCTTGGGGCTCCCATCCAACTTCCCCAGGGCTGCTGCTCCAAACCTCTGGAACAGGGGTCTTTGCTCTCACACACCCAGTGAGGCGGCTCCCCCACCCCACTTTGGTCACCCCTTCTCAAAGTAAGTAGCGTGGACTGCACTTTCTCACCCTCAGCCCTGTCCTGGCTGGGGGACAAGGCCATGGGACTGAGCTCAAGCAAGACCCACTACTGGCCCCAGAGCCCACTGCCCGGCCCATCCACACAGCCCCACACTTACAGATGGCCCCGCTGTGCCCCGCTCTCCAGCCAGGCCCTGTGGAAAATCAAAGCAGGTTAGGCCTCGCCCTGAAGGAAGGGCACAACATGAGGGGACGGAGTCACAATGCCAGCAGTTGGAGCTCCAGGTACCCCATGCTGATGCCCAGCCACACCCTCTCTGGGGGACTGGACAGGCGGTTCTGACTCAGTCCCCCCGAACCTCTTTGGAATCATGTAGGACCGGTTCCCCAAAAGGATGCTGTGGGCCTGGTCTGCACAGACAGGAGAAGCAGCTCTGCCTGGAAGGATCCAGAAGCTCCTGAAAATAGATGCCTGGCAGGACGAGGCTACCCGAAATTACACTCTTGGCAATAGCAGGGACCTGGCTAGACCCCTGCTCCGCTCCCCTGCTGTGTGACTCCAGCAAGGGCCTCGACCTCTCTGAGTCTCCACTTCTCCATTGCTATTGTGATAAAATGATGGGGGATAAAATTATTGGGATAAAAAAATGTTGGCATGGGCAGCTGGGGCAGGAGCTGGGAACACCATCACCCCTGCTCTTCGGTGTTGCCCAGGGCTGGGCAGCTGGAGCCAAGTGCTCCTGGTGGCATGTGGAGCCGCCCAGACGACCCCACTCCCACTGCCTACTAGGGACACAACAGGTTAGTCCTTACCTGGGATCCAGGTGCACCTGGGGGCCCCGGGGGACCATGTGGCCCCGGCGGACCTGTTGGCAGAGTCACATGGTCATCTAGGGCCAGAGAAGCTGGGAGCAGGACATTCCCAGCCTCCGCTCCCAGCCCTGGCCCTGGGGATTGTCTCTGGGTTTGTTGAATGACGGTCAGGGGAAGGGAGAGTAAGTGTTCTCCAGACCTCCTTGTGCTCCCCTCAGAGTACAAAGCCCACCTCCACCCACTCCCCCCTACACCTCAACATGCTCTTCCTTCCAGGGGCTCCCACATGGGCCTGTACACCACCCCAGTCAGCCAGTCCTCAGCACTTCTCTCTCATCTGCCCTTTCTTGGGACCTGGGACCTGATCCTTCTTGCCTGGACTTCTAGAGCCACTTCCTGACCATCCACCTCCACGGAGCCTCCCTTAGACATCTTTCTGGTAGGTCTCTCTCAACCCAGTTCCCTCTAGCCTCATCCCTCCAAAATTCCTCTGCTTCCATGCCCTTGCTGATGCTGTTCTCTCCTCTGGAGGCTCTCTGTTCTCTCCACATCTCAGCAAACTCTTTCCTACTAGCCTCAAACGAGCGTCACCTCCTCCAGGAAGCCTTCCCAGCAACCTACCCCCACCTGACTTGGAGGCAAATCCCTGACATGAAGCAGTCACCACCCATGGTCACTGGACACTGACCTACCCAGATATTTGTTGAATGCATGAGCATAAATGAATGACATTTGTGGGCCTGGAGCTTATTCCTGAGATGCCTGCCTGCAGCGCCCATGCCTCCACTGTTGAGTCACTCACTGGTAGAACGTGTCCCCTGAGACATCCACATAGCTGAGCAGGCAGTCTAGGTGAGGCGAGGGGACTGGCCCCTTGTACCCTGCAGCAGCCCAGAGCTGCTTCAGGAGAACGCAGAATTTGCATAAACACGTGGGGTTCCTGTGTCCAGTCCCATAGGGGAACTGCCACCCAGAGTGAGAGGTCCCACCTCAGGCCACACAGGGGTTTGGCCATGGGCCCCCATCATACCCCCTTGAGGCCCTTTGGCCAGGCCGAGCCCAAGTGGAGGCACTCAATCCAGGGCAGCCTGCGCTGCTCCCTCTGCACTGACCTGGAGGGCCAGGGGGGCCACGGGGCCCCGGGATGCCGGCCAGCACGGTGTCCACAGCAGCAGAAGCCAGCTGCACGTCTCCATCTGTGGGGAGAGCAGAGCGGCCTGTAACCCAGCAGAGTGAGGCCAGCAGGGCTGGGAGGTTGGTCCCCCTGAGGAGAAATGGATACCCTGACCCGGGCATCACAGCAGCCCGGGGAGCAGACGCGACTCCTCCCACTGCTCAGAAGAGAGCACAGAGGCCAGGTCAAAAGGCCAGAATGGCTGTGGGCTTCGCATAAAGCAAAAACTCCTTCTTGAACATTCTAGGCCTTTAGGCTCTGCCGGGCCCTCTCACCTCCTCAATGCCCAGTCTGGCACCTTCCTCCAGGCTCTGCCTCTCGTGCCCATCCTAATGCACCCTGTGAGTGAGTCCTCCTCCAGGAAGCCCTCCTTCCCACCCCTTTGAGCTGAAGGGCCCTGTTGCCGCCATCAGAGCCCTGGATGGGTGAGATCGGTCAAAAGGCCCTTCTCCGTGGCCTGAGCCCCTCAAAGGTGAGTCCCAAGTGATCTCGCCCTACCCCTCCTCAGAGCCAGGCCTACAGTAGCACCACCCAGGAAATGCCTGGGGTGGGGATGGCCACCTCCCTCCACACACGGACACCTGACCATCTGTCTGCAGGCCTCATGGCAGGTGAGCCTCCTGCTCATCCTGGACGGAGCACCTCTCTCTTCCCAACACTCACGCCCCAGCCCCCCAGGAAGGGAAGGAGGGCCCTGTCAGCAGGGCTCTGAGCCCTGAGGTGAGAAGTGGGCAGTGCTGGAGGCACCATATCCAGGCAGAGGCGGCTAGAGCCCCTGGAGGTTCCTCATGGTGTGGGGGGAGGGGTCAGCTGCTGAGCTCTGAGACCCCCCCAAGGTACTTCACCAGTGTTATCCACCCTCTCCCTGCCCAGGAGGCACGCAGGGCCCACCTCGCGGCAAGGGGGCGGAGTCGGGTGAGTTAATACTTGCTCCGGAAGGCCTGAGATCGGGGCCCCTCTCTAGGCCTGCCCCTGCCTGGCCCAGCCCCCATCCCCACCAAGGGCAGCCCAGGACCCCAGTCTGCCCGGGAATGAGTTCCACCCGCTGCTGCAGGCACTGACCAGGACTGCATTTTTCAGGGCATCTCCCAGGGCGTCTCCATCAGGGGGACCTACCACCTCACATTACAGATGGGGAAACTGAGGCTCACAGAGACACAGTGTGGTTCAGGTTCAGGTCTTAAATCTCAGTTCAGCCTTTGCTGTCTGGGAAACAGAAGCACCAGCTGGAGGGAGGCTTGGTTTCTCTGATGGCAGATGGAGGTTCCTGTCTCCCATGGCTCCCCCGAGGTCCCCCATCCTTCCCTGGTTTCCCAGGACAACCTCTGGGGCCGCTGCCTCACAGCTGCTCAGACCCAGTGCCCTGCCCCTTGAGCCTCAGGGCTCCTGGCAGCATCTCCCCTGGGCCAGCAGAGGTCTTCATAGCCAGGTACTCCATGTACCAGCCTGTTCCCCGAGGCAGGTGTCTGCTTTGCTCACTGCTGTACCCCCAGTGAAGACCCATGTGCCCAACACATAGTAGGTGCTCAATAAGGCCCTCATGAATGACCTGCAGTGAGGGTATTGTGAGGAGAGGTGGTAACAGTGACCTTGACAGAGCCGCTGTCACCAGGTGGGAAACTGAGGCCAGTCAGTGAGTAGAGTGACCGTTGGGGGTTCAGGGTCCCAGGGGCAAGAGTTGAGCACAGAGGTAGGGATAGGCCATGCAGGGACCAAAGAGGGCTGGGGACCATCATCAGCCCCCAGGGACCACCCTCACACCCAACAGACCCTCAATCCCAAGCCAGTGCTTCACTCACTGGTGGGGTCTACTTCATGGAATCCTTTGGGGAGGACTGTCTCCCCAGAAGACAGCAAGGCTCAGGCCTGCCCCCCAACCCCCCAGGCTCGGCACTCACTGTCCTTGTCCGTAGGTGGCTGCAGGGAGTACAGGACGCCTTGGGGGATGTTCGGAGGGAGGCCCGGGCTGCCTGCTGGGCCGGGGGGACCAGGGGGGCCAGGGCGCCCTGTCTCTCCAGGAAGCCCGCGGGGCCCTGGTGGCCCCAAGAGGCCTGCAATGGGGAGAAGAGGAGGCATGTGAGGGCCCAGTTTGGCTGCTGACATTACAGAGAGGAAATGGGGGTGGGGAGAGGGGGACGATAAGTGGTGGCCCCTAGACCCATGTTCTCTCTGGAGGGCTTCCTGGGACGTGAATAAAATGGCTTCCCTTCCCAGCCCAATGCAGGGGGAGCCCAGGACCCTGAGGGGGCAGTGATGGCTCTGTCCAGGTGCCCTCTGTGCCATCCAGAGGCCTCAGTTCTGGGGAGGGGGGACCAATGGTGGTGGCCAGCCTGGGCTGAACTGTGCCCGCCCTGACCAGGGAGTCACTCCCTCGAAGGACCCCGAAGGAACAGGGGACACTCAGAGAATGCCTGAGAACACCCTCAGCCCACACCTGCTCACTGCTCCTGGAGCCTTCTCCCCCTGCAGCCCAGGATGGGGGTCAGCAATGGGGGTGCTGGAGGGAGGAAGTGGACCTACAGCCCCCAAGCTGGCAGTCATTAGAGGCAGCAAATTGGGGGTGCATGGGGGTTCCTCGTCTGCTCAGATTGGGGAGACAAGCCCTCCTTCCCCCAGTGGACACAGTGAAGTGGAGAACGTCCTTACCAGGAGGCCCTGCTGGGCCCTTCTCCCCTGCTTGGCCCCTGTCACCTTTGGAGCCTGGGGGGCCTGCAGGCCCTGGAGGTCCTGTCTGTCCTGGGGGCCCTGGGGAGAGAACGAGACCAAGCCTGAGAACACTATGGGGTGAGCTGCCACCAGAGACCCCAGATCTGACCACCGGAGTTTCTGGCAGACCTGCCCCCAGAAGTCCCAGCCCTCCCGGGGCTCCCCCGAAGAGCACAGGCACCACAGTCGGCGTGCGTGTCTTTTATCAGTTTATAAACCGGTGCTGTACTTTCTAACGTCTGTGCTGCCATAGCCACTTTTGTTCGGGTGGGAAAACAGGCTCAGAGAGGTGCAGTCCTGTGTTCAAGGTCTCAGGCCACAGGCAAGTCAGGCTCCTCTTCCCACGTCCGACTGTCGCCCTGCTCAGGGCTGGGAAGTGGGCTCGGGGCAAAGAGACTCTGTGAAGGCCCGAAGGCCACCCTTGCCCAGCTCGAGCCTCTAGGCCCCACAGGAGGACAGAAGTAGACGCAGGCAACAGGTCCATTGTGCGGCCTGGGGGCAGAACCTTCTGGAATGCCTGGAGACACCCACTGCGCTGATGGAGGGGAGGACCTGCTCTGGTTTCTCAGGCCCTTGCTCCCACTGCTGGTGACTGTGACCCAGAAGGGAGGGCTTGCCAAGGCTGCTGGTTTCCCCAGGTGCCCTCCTGCTTCGGGAGTTCCCAGGGCTCGCCAGGTGTTGCCATTTGTAGGAGTTGTGCTCCACCTGGTGGCCATTTCTTAGAACTGCACTCTCCCTGGTAAGGAGACCGTCAGGGGCCCAGGAGAGCCAGACCGCCTCTGAGCTTCCTCTCCCACCACCCCCAACCCTGGATGCCCAGGGAGGCTGTGACTGGGGTCTTCCAGGGCATGGGAAGCTAGAGATCCATAATGAGGATACCACTCCGCCCCCCAATAGCAGACCTGAGCTCATCCCTCCTCTCCCTCAGAAGAGTGCAGGGCTCCAGGCCGGGAAGCCAGCTCTCCTTCTGCCTCTGGGCTCCCCCTCCCATCTCAGGGAGGACAGAGCAGAGGGGAGGGGACAGAGGCAAGTGCCCAGAGCTGTCTGGGAGGAGAAGCTGGAGGAGAAAAGAGAGAGACAGAGACAGGGCATCACCTCCAAAGGACTCCAGTGGGGCTGAGAGTCACAGAAATAAAATGCAGCCAAATCACTGGGTAACCCCAGAAATCAATAGCTCTGGCCTCAGTTTCCTCCTCCAAGCTTTACAAGCTTCCTGGGATGATTAGAAATCATATCCAAACAGCCTAGAGCGATACACAAATATTTAATAACTGGTAGAGCACAGCTACCGCGTCAGAAGGAACACTGCCTGAACATCTTAGTTGGGCCACACTGACAGGTGGCAGCTAGAGGTCACTGAGGGAGGAACCCCCAGCTATCCTGACTACCATTACTACAACCACAGCCATCCCCTTATCCGCAGGGCTCTCTTTCAAGACCCCCACACCCTGAAACCACAATAGCACGGAACCCTCTATAGAGTGCCGTTCCTATACTTCCACACCTATGATAAGGCTTGATTTATAAGTTAGGCGCAGTAAGAGATGAGCAATAACCCAGAAAATAGAAAAATCATGACAGTATGCTGTGAAAGTCAGGGGGATGTGGCCTGTCTCACTCTCAGCATGCCTTATACACATGCACGGAATTTTTTGGCACCAGCTGGCCAGGGATGGGAGGGGAAGGGGAACCTACATTTTTTTTTTTTTTGTGGGACCCTCGCTGGCGGCCGGGGAGCAAACCGGCGCTGCAGAGGCTGAGGGCAGCCTCGCGGCCCAGCGCTTAACCGCTGCACCACCAGGGGAGGCCCCGGAACCTACATTTTTATTATTACCTTGTGGTCCCAAAGAGCAGACCCCAGACCCATGGAGAGAAAGTGTTCAGCCCTGACTTTAAAATGTGATGGGAGGAAAGAGAACAACAAGGTGCTGAATGTCCTATAGCTCTGGTGAGAGAACGAGAACCCCCAGCAGGTGGTGGCAGGCAGAAAGTGCCCGGTCCCTGGGGGTATGTAGGCAGGGCTACTGTGAAACTCACTCCAACAAGAATGGGGCTGGGCGTCTAAGTGCAGATGCTGAGGGATGGCACAGCAAGCAATGAGGATGGTAACTGGACTGTAAGACAATGAGGGATGGTGAGGACTGCGGCAAACTGCAGAGTTTAGGTAGAATCTGAGGGACAGCTGTGACTTGGCTGCAGCCCGTTGTTTCCATGAGGTCATCAGTCCCAATGGCCAGATCTTCCATTTTTCTAGAAGCTAGCAATTCTGATTTTTATGTGAAATCCCCGTGTTAAAATGGTAGCTCAATTTTTCTAAATGTCACAGGGATGCATTTAAACCAGAAGCTAATGTGTGGCGACTCGTGGAAGCCCCGGCCGGCCATGCCTGAACCCTCCTTGAAGGTCCCACTCACCCACAGGGCCCGTGGGTCTTCTCCTCCGAGGCCCTGGGTGGGCAAGGGGGATGGCATCAGGGAGGAAGTCCTCGTTCCAAGTCGGCGGGGTGCTCTGAGGGACTGGCAGATCGTTGTCGGGGCCTGAGGGCTGCTCCGCTGCTTCTAGCAGGAGAACCTGGGCCAGAGAAGGGCAGACGGTCAGGCACGGGCCAGGTCAGTCCTCTGTCCGAGGATGCATGCCCACGAGACCTGCAGTTGGTGCCACTGAGCGTGGGCCATCGCGTTTCTCAGTGGGACCACCGCCCCCTTTGCCAGAATGCTCCCCCACCCTGCCCACCTCTGCTTCCCATTCAGGAAGGCCCTTCTCCTGGACCTGGGGCTCAAGCGGGTCCCCATCGGACACTTTCAGAGCCCCTGTGCTTTTCCCCTAGAGCCACCGTCCCTGGGATCAGAAATCTGCAGTGGGTAACGACCAGTCATATCACCCTACTGCATGGGTCCCCCAAGGGATGGACTAGGCGTGCTTGGTCCTCCATGTGCCCAGTTGGGGCACCAACTAAGTGGTCAGGGGATGTCTGGGGATGGTCTGTGTCCTGAACACCCGCTGGAGGCAGAAGGGCAGTGCGCAGGACCCCTCCAGCACTGGGGAGCCAGTCCTGCCTCCTGCTAGCTTCCCAGACTCCACAAAGGGGGTGTGAGGATGGGGTGCCGACGCCTGTCTGGGTCCCCGCTGTTACCATCATCACTGACTTCTAGTCCCACAAGAGCCCAAAGGCATCTGAACCCTGGCCCCTTGGCCTGTACCCCACCCCATTCCATCCTGTGCCTACCCCAAACCAGAATCCTGGGGCCTCCCCAGACCCTGCCTTCCCATTTCCAGGGGGGTCGGCCTATGCCTCCCCATGCCTCCTTGGGCAAGGTGTGGCCCTTTCACTATTGCCTGAGGTCACCTAGTCAGCAGGTGGTTAGGCCAGGACCCCACAGCATCTCAGTCACAGTTCCTCCACAGCCCTGGCCTGGGCAGAGGCTTGTGGAGGCACAGAGAAGGGGGGTGGCTGGCTTTCCTGACCCCCAGAATCTCTAGAGAGGAGGCTCATAATTCTTGCTCCAACCACTGAGATCCCACTGAGAGGTTAGAGGCTCTGGAGGAGAAGGTGATCTGTGAGGCTTGGGGGTGGGTTGAGCTGCAGTGTCTTAGGGGCAGATGGGCATACAGGAAGTAGCTCCATGGGTCAGGAGCTGAGGTGGGCCATGTTAGGGGTCAGGCAGAGGTGCCCTGGACAAGTCAGAACCAGCCCTGGCTGAAGGACAAGTCTTCTGATCTGGATGTGGCCAAACTCTTGGAGAAACTTATGTCTTCCCTGCTGGGCATGAGCTCACCAGGCAGCAGCCGTGGGCGTGGGGACTCAGCCCAAGAAAATAGACCGCAATTGGAGGGCAGTGCCCGGATGACATCATGGTGGCCTGGCTGATTGGCCAACCTCCTGCACCAGAGAGGAGCCCAGCTCCAAGGCCACATGACCTTCACGCAGGGAAATCCCCTTGTGCTCCTTCCCACTGCCTGTGGTCCATGAGGTCAGAATGTAAACTGAGGGGGAGGAAGGGAGGCAGGCAGGACACTTTCTCATTCGGGCCTCCTGCCTCTCCAGTCCCTAGCAGCCATTACAGCCTGCTCCAAGGGTGGCAGGAGTCCTGATGAGCAACTAGCTCTGGGTCTTTGGCAAATTGGCACCCATGGGGAGGAAAGATGGAGCATACACTGAGGGTCTCCTGACCCCAGCCACTCCCTCTTCCCTGGCTCCAGAACATTTTATTGTGTACAGATGGGTGTGCTCTGGAGGAGGAATTATGAAGGCCTAAGCTGACCATAGCAATCTCTTTCTGCTTGCTAGGTACCTTTTCTCTCAAGCTCCCTTGCAACTAAAAGGTGGCATATAGCCCAGTGCTGGCCAATGAGATGTAATGAATCTTTTGGGGTCCTTTGTCCCTCCCTCTATTTCCTGCCTCTGAACACAGGGTGGGGAAGAGTCAGTGTGATGCCTTGAACTACAGCAGCCACTTTGTAATCATGAGGACAAAAGCCAAGTCTTTAAGGCACAGAGGGAAGACTGTAAAAAGCCTGAGTTCTTGAGTCACCAAACCAGTTCCAAGACCACCTATGCTGGACTTCCTGAACCAATAATAAATGGAATAAGCTGCCATTTACTGGGGTTCTCCTTCTGATACACCAGAACAGGCTTGTCTGATTGAGCAGAAGCCTCAGTTTCCAGACCTCGGAGCTGTTCTCTTATGCCAGCGGCCTGGTTTCTGTCTGGGGGCTGCCTGCCTGGTTCTCCCTTCACTTGGCTGACTCCAGGCTCTGACCCAAGCTGGCCCCAGCTCCACAGTTCAGACCCCTCAGTTCACCTGGCCTTGTGCAGCCCCTGAAGCTGTGAAGCTGTCTGGCCACCAGCTCAGCTTGTATCCCCCGCCCCTCTCCAGACTGCTGCTCCCTGGACCCCCTGACCTGCTGGCTGTGATGCAGAGCCCAGGGGAGGGAGGTGTCAGCATGGGAGGGTGGAGGAGGAATTGCTCAGACAGAGGGCAGGGCCAGCACCTGGGGGTTGGGACAGCTGGCTCTGTGCTAGTCCTCCCCCAGAGCTGTTACTTTCAATGCCCCGAGGCTCTGGACTAGGGCCAGGGCACACTCTGCCAAACCATGGGGAGGCTTCAGGTATCTGGAAAAAAGCCCTTCAGGCCAGCTGACCTGAAGACTCTGCCTTTTCTAAAATCTCAGGTACCAGAAATTCACCCCACCCATAATTCCCACCCCTTCTAGGGGTGTCTCCCATCCACCTGTGGGATGGACAGATGAAAACACCGACCTGCACACCTCCCAGCACTGCACCTTTCTGAAGCCACCACCATGTCACCTGAGGGCCTCGGCAGCCTTTCCAGGCTGGTGCTTTAATTCATTTCTCAGTTAAGGAAGTAGGAGCTCGGTGGGAGTCACCCAGCTGGTGGCTGGTGGCCTCAAGTATGTCTCACACTAAATGATAGTCACCTGCTGTCCCTCCAATTGGGCAGGTGTCCTCACAGTCAGGTTTTCAGGACAGGAGGCAGGAGGCAGGGCCAAAGGGCAATGCAGGGTGGACAAGGGCCATGTGTGTCTATGTATGTACATGTATGTGTGCATGCGTGTGCTTGTGTTCATGAGCATGTACATGCACAGGTGTGTGTCGACAAGGGGCAGCCTTCCTAGCAGGCCCTTCTGGACTGGAGGACCTACCTCCTACCTGTTCTCAGGATTCTTGCTGGGAGATGGGGAGTCTCCCAGGGGTCTCGATGCTCTGTCCTCACTCCAACCTCCCTGTCAGCTGGCCATGCTCACACCCACCTCCTGGGCAATGCCACCTGTCCCAGACACTGCGTCTCTGCTCCTGGGAGGGCTCTCATCTTCCCGTCCGCACATTCGGCCTCCCATAGGCAACCCCACAGTTCCACTGCCCAGGAGTCTCTGTGGAGATCTGGAGGTGTTCCAGTGAGCTGCACAAATCCAGTGACCTGAGACCCCAGGCCTCTCCTCCCAGAGGCCATCCAGAGCCACTAAGGAAACCTGCACACCCTGGGGTTTCCCCAGCCACACCCAGCAGGTGCATGGTGTCCCCACCCCTAGCAGCTCCCCAGATCCAGGCTCCCCAGGCATTCTGACCTTGGCCTCCAGCGTGGTCAGCCGCTCACTCATGTCGCTAAGCCGGGTACAGTTCATGCATTCTGGAAGAGAAGAAGCAAGGCTGGAGAGTGGACTCAGAGAAAGAGCAGCCCAGACACCAGGCCAGCCTCTGGGCAAGCAGAGAAGTCGGATCCTGGATCCGTTTGTCCGGAAAACTCCTATCAGTCCTTCAGGGCCTTATCCTCAAGGTCCCTTCTCCAAGGAGGTCACCTTCCTGACAGCGGAGCCTCTTTTTTGAGCACATGGTAACATTTGTCTCTTCAGCAAAGTGTGGCTTTGTGCAGCTCTGAGTCAGCACCAGGCTGCCGTCTCAGCCTGTGGGTACCATGTGGGTAGGGGTCTTTGTCTATTTTGTTTGCCTGTGGATTTCAGTGCCAGGCACAAAGTAGGAATCAAAAAATTTCTGAGAGTTGATGAATGGATCCCTGACTTTGAGAACTAAGTCTGGTGAAGGAGATGGACAAACAAACATAGGCTAGTAAGGGCTACAATGAGGCCATACAGAATGTACAAAAGACCATCATGAGGGCACCAAAACCAGGGGTGGGAGTGGTCAGGGAGGACTGCCTGGAGGCAGTGGCAACTAAGGTGAGGTCTGAGAGGTGCATAGTTATGGGCCAGAGTCAGCAGAGGGAAGAGGCCTCAGTGAGCTGAAGCCCGGAGGGGCACAGAACAGAAGTCTGCCAGCAGCCCTGCCTAATCAGAACACACTTGGGGGCCACTGAGGCAAGTTTCCTAACATGGGTGGGGGGATAGAGTTTGGTGGGAGGAGCTTGACAGTATCCAGAGGCCAAAGGACAGCTGTCAGAGGTGGTAAAAGACTAGATCAGATCCGCATTTTAAAAAGCTCACTCTGGCAGCTAAGTGCACAGTGGGTGGGAGAGGGAGGGACTGGAATCCGGAAGGTCAATTAGGAGACTGGGAATGGTTAACCCCCCAGGCACACAGCTCCCTGCGCTGTAATTATCTATTTATGTCTGTCTCCCCCAGAGTCCTGGAGCTCTTTAATGAGGAACTAAATGGCTCAAAGCTGTTCTAAGGAACTTTTATTGCTCTAGAAGTCAGGGATGCCTAAATTCCTCACGCAGTTCAAGGCCTGACCCTACAGGAACCCCACTCTGGTTAAATAGGCACACAAGAACAGGTTCTCAGTAGGTCCTACTTGGCGTGCTGCGTGGACCACGGGAGGCCCCTCGGCCACAGCTCCTGCATGCCCATCAGCACAGTCCGTGGCCCCCACACCGTCAGCCATCGAAAATCACCTTGCTAATGTCCCTGTTCTAAGATGGTCCGCGCTCTGTGAGAGGTGGGGGTAGAGGCCAAGGGTCTTAGGATCTCAGGAATAGGTGGTTTAGGAGGTGGTCCTCAGGGGGTGCCCAGCCTCAGGACCAGGAGGAGTGCAGTCGATCCCCAGCTTCCTGCTCACCAGCGCTAGCTGGCTTTACAAGCTCTGTGGGCTGGCAGAGATCTTCATCTCCCACCCCTGCTGCCCTGGGCTGGGTCCAGTTCTGGGTTTATAAGCATTTTTTAGGAACAGAACTCTTTTTCCCCCTTAATAAAACCTTGTCAGTAACCCCGATACATTACACAGAGTAAAGACGGAGGTATAAACACTGAAACTCTAAAACAGCTAGAAGAATGTATACAGTTGTCTGACACTAGGATTGCACAAAGGACCAGAGTGGTTTTCGGGTTAAACAAGAGACATCAAACACAGGTTCCCTCCAGCTCCTCCAGGAAAAAGGATGATTAAGAGAGGACGAGGTGGAAACCGCAAAGCAAAGAGAGGGCAGGAGCCGCTTCTCAGGGACACATGTTGCCAGGAATGTTTCATTCTGCAAAATGAGCCTGCTGAGGGGAGCCCCAATCCGGGCAATGGAGGAGGCTTGGAGAGCAGAGCCTCCAGGTTCCCCCAGGCTGGGGCAAGCCCATGGGGCAGAAGTGAGGGGTCCCCTCTGGGGTCAGAGACCCATCCTAGGGGAAAGATCTCAGGCACTGACATTTGGGGAGGCCATGGGAAAAATGGTGGGTCCCCAAAGGCTCCTGGTCACTGAGGTCAAACCACTTAGAGCCGGGGGCTTGGGTTAGGTGGGGGATGTTTGTACCTCCCTTTTAAATACAGAGGGTTCCTGGTCCTTGAAAGAAGCTTTAATGGGAAAGACAGGTCAGAAGAGTCCTGTTTGCCCACCCACCTACTCCACCCCCAACTTAGCCCCCACCCATCCACCAATCCTCTTCCCCAACCCCATCCAGTCACCCGACCCCATGTTGCCTCCCCCAACCATGCCCTCACCCACTGGACTCCTGTTCATCACCAGCCCCTTGGTGAGGTTGGGCTACTATGGATGGGGTGGTGGCAGGCAGTATAAATGAGGTGCCCACCCTCAGGGAAATGCCCGGGCCCCTCCTGAGAAGCTTGTCTCATGGGGAAACAGGTGCCAACTCTGCAGGAGGACCAGCCTAGAGGACTTGGAAAAAGTGGCTTTCCAGCTCCAGTTCCCCTCCCCAGTCACTGACACCCAGAGGGGAACAGGAGGCCCCAGCTCTGGGGGTCGGCAGAAAGAGCAGCAGGCAGGAGGAACACGGGTGAGTCATAAGCGAGTCCTCCCCAGGGGACATTTTTGAGGCATCAGGGGCCCTGAACAGAGTTTCCAGGGTTTGAGATAACAAATAGGGCCCCCTGCAGCAGGGAGAGGCCAGGAGAGGGAGGAGTGAGCCTTGGGCCCATAGGAAGTTATTTCTGGAGCGTGTCCTGGGCCCAGGCCAGTTTGCTCTGGCACTGGGCACACTGCTTGGCAGGTGAGGGGTGGCTTGGCAGTTGATGGGCACAGGGGGCCCGGCTCCCCCACCGTGGAGGGGCCCAGGAGGCCGGGTGCACAGGGCCAGACTGCCAGCTCGCCCTCCCTGAGCCACCTGCCAGCAAGGCAGGCCTCTGAGACCGGGTGGGTTAGGGCTCCCCTGGCATCCCATCATGATGTTTGTTTAATTTTCTTTAATTATTCACTGGAGTGGTGGAGACGTGGAGACGGCGCCAGTGGGGCTAACCCCTGCTCTGTGACAGGGCAAGGCCCTGCCTATCCCACTCTGGGCCTCAGTTTCCCCTCAAGAGAGGGGCACTTTAGCTCTCTGGAATTCTTAGGATTCCCATGTTCCCAGCCCTCTTCCCAGTACACACAAGCAAGCCCCTGGCGCAGCTCCTGGCAACTAGAGCACAATGCAGAATCATGTGTTAGCAAATCTTTGGCAATACGTGTAACTGGAGCTGTGGATGTGCCAGGCAAACCAGTGTGTATGTGTGTGTCCGCATGTGTGTACATGTATGTGTTGTGGGGGGGTATAGGTGTATGTGGGTAGGTGTGTATGTGTGTGCATGTGTAGGTGTGTGTATATAAATGTGTGTGCATGAGTGCACAAACACGTGCACACCTGTGTGTATGTGTATAAGAGTGACTGCTCCTGGCTCCTGGCTCCCCACTCCTCACCTCTGCCTGACCTCCCTCTGCAGCTGCCCAAGCCAACTTTACCCAGGTCCCTGCCTCCAGGTCCTATAATAGAAAGGAATCAAATTTGCCTTGAGGATTGAAGATGGGGAGCAGCAAGCTAGCTGCAGGCGGGAGTTTCAGAAACTACTGGGGGCCCCCATGATGCTCAGAGCCCATCCCCATGGTTAGTAAAGAGACTGGTAGGACTTGGGCCCAGGCAGTCGACTTTGCAGTTAACTACTAGAGGGTCGCTATTCCCAGGTCATTTGTTGCAAAGATGGGGTTTCTCGAACACACATTACCCTGAAAGGAAGGGTGGGGAGGGCAAGGTGAAGTCCAAGGCAGGGGCCCTGGCCCCGTGCCTCCCCGCTGCTCCCCAGCACATGCCAGTGCGATGAACCCCACGGGGGCCGGGGAGCCTGCTGGATACAGCCATGGTCTTGTGCCAGCGGCGGGGCTCATGGACAGGACAGAGTAATTGAATTTCATCCTTTTCTATATCAGGATCACAGAGAAGGCAAGCTCTTTCAGGAGCTTCTGCCAAGACTTTATTGAAAAGTAACTTGAGTCCCTTCTGGGACAGGGGTAGTCTCGAGTAAGCATCCTCGCCGTGGAAACTTAAATCACTGAAGGACCAACTGCTCGCAGAACTCAGTGGAAGCTGGCACCCCACCCCCGCAGGCAACCACAGCAGCCCAGGACTGAGGAACTCCCCGGTGAGGTTCAGAAACACCCATGAGGTGGGGAAAGGGGAGACACTGGTGAGTGAAATCAAGTAATTTGCTATTGTTTCGTAGGCACCGCTGGGTAAGACAGAAATACCCTGACCGTCACCTTCTTCATGAGTGAGTTGAGGTTCAGAGCGGTTCAGTCATGTACTCAAGGTCACACAGCCTGTCAGTTGAAGGTCAGAATCAGAACCCAGGCCTTTCCTTCCCCTAAGGCCACAGTGCTTCTAGCCCCCGGCACTCTGGACACGGGCCACCTTCTGCGAGTACCTCTTCCCTGCGGGCTGTGGGCCCTGAAGGCAGGGGTCATGGCTCACGTATTCTTGTGTCCTAAACAAATGGGGGGGGGTATTCCCCTGTCACATGGGGCTGCGAAGATGCCCGAATGAGAGGTAGCAGTGTGGGGTGCAAACAGAACTGGCCTCACCATCCAGGGGGCTGCCCAGGAGGAGCCAGGAGACCCAGAGAGGAGAAAGAGCTCTCTTCCCAGGAAGTGTATGGCGGGCCGGGCAGTCCCGGCACCCAGGCAGTGCTGTGCAGGAGCGGCCCCCGGGCACAGGAAGTGCTCCAGCCCCAGCAGCTGTTTTCTATTTCCACTAAGGCCAGGAAAAGCAGAAAGAGGCTTAAGGTTGAGAGATAAGGAAGAGGTTTTGATGCTGAAGTTCATTATATCCCGGCTGTGTCACCCCAGGAGGGGAGAAGGGAGAAGCCGTCCTTTTCCTATTTCATGAGAGCAGAAGGTCGGGCCCGTCTGGAGCAGGGTCACGGTGCAAGTAAAAGAAAGGGCAACTCCCATCCACAGAGCCTGACTGTGTGCTGAGCATGTCCGTC